CGTACAGTGCGTACAGAAGAAGCTATTGCTGCTGTAGAGCGTAGCATTGAGGAAGAGCCGAATGAGTTCATCCGCCATCGAGTACAGGAATTGGATCTGTGTCCATCCACTTGATGGAAGATTTTGTGGAAGGATCTTGGTTTACGTGCTTACAAAATCCAACTCGTGCAAGAATTGATGCCAAACGATCATCAAGTAAGGCGTAGATTTGTCGAATGGGCCCAAAACGAGATTGCCGTTGTTCCCGATTTTCATAAGCGAATTTTGTTTAGCGATGAAGCGCACTTCTGGTTGAATGGCTACGTCAACAAACAAAACTGCCGCATTTGGAGCGAAGCTAATCCTCAAGTGTATGTCGAAACACCGTTACATCCAGAAAAACTGACTGTTTGGTGCGCTTTATGGTCTGGTGGAATCATTGGTCGGTACTTCTTCAAAAACGATGATGGCCAGAACGTTACAGTCAATGGTGATCGGTATAGAGCTATGATTACTAACTCTTTCATTCCTGAATTGAATAACCATGATGTCCAGGAGATGTGGTTTCAACAAGACGGCGCAACATGTCACACAGCTCGTGCCACAATCGATTTATTGAAAGACACGTTTGGTGGCCGCCTAATTTCACGTTCTGGACCTGTGAATTGGCCTCCAAGATCTTGTGATTTAATACCGATAGACTACTTTCTGTGGGGCTATGTAAAGCCATTGGTCTATGTGGATAAGTCACAAACACTTGACCATTTGGAAGACAACATTCCCCGTGTTATTGCCGATATACGGCCACAAATGTTGGAAAAAGTCATCGAAAATTGGACGTCCAGATTGGACTACATCCGCGCCAGCCTTGGCGGTCATATGCCAGAAATCATATTTAAAATGTAATGCCACAAGATTATCTTTCGGATAAATAAAATTCATGTTAATCGAATAATCCATCGTTGTTTTATTGCAACTTAAAGTTCTATACATCGAAAAAAAATACCCCTTATTTTCAACACAAAATAAAGCGAGAGGTATAAACTTTTCTTCTTAAAATCGTCTATAGATCGGCATCTCTGGAATTTTTTTCCAAAATCCAACTTGGTTTTGAGAACTAAGTTCTTTTATTCATATTTTAGATTAAGACTAAAACTATCGTTGCCGTTTTTTTTTTCAGAAAAATATTTCTTTTTCGATTTCAAGTTTATTAAAATGTGCTACGCCTTTTTGAAGATTTATTTTCGATAATGGTCAAATAAAAAGCAGCATTAAAAAACAGATTTTTTCTTAGCTTTACGATTGTGTTCACTGTAACCATGATTAACGTTAGAAATTTTCGACGATCGCGCCCCTGGGGACATTTCGGAAACTCCAAAATAATTGCCATCATTTTGTCTTGACCGTTGTACTAGATACGTACAGGGTGGGCCGTTTATCTTGCGACGCTACCTTATCTCAGAAACTATAGGGAATGGAACCAAAAGTTGTATACAAAAGTTAATTGAGGTATTATCAGTTTTCAATTTATTTAAATGTTGTATATACAGGGTATTTCATTTTTCGTGGCCAAGTATAAACTTTCTTATTTTAAATGGAACACCTGGTATATTACTTCATTTTTGAATTCTATATATTTATTTTGTGTATAATGTCCTATACCTTAGTCTAACCGTTTTTGACATTTTTAACTTTTTATGCGAAAAGTGACGTTTGCACGACTTAAAATATCTGCCAATTCCTTTATTCGGAAGCATTTATTGTTTCACACGTAGAAAAAAGAAATTTCGATACATATTAATACAGGGTACACGAAAAATAAGATTAAGATTAAAAAACTTTTTTTTAATGGAAACTACCTATATTTATAATCTTGTCATATATAGCATTAAAAATTAAGGCAATTTTATATAAGTTGTATATGCCTAATCCTTTACTTTTTGAAATATTTCCTTTCAAACATATATCAATCACATATATGTATACTGTTGCCATATAAATTCAGTTAGTGTAAGTTGGCTATGACAGCGTTTGCACAAAACAAGTGCTGCGCTTATGATAAAAGATTATGTAAATGTATGTATACATTATGTATACACAATAAGACCAAGGATATATAACGTTGGTGAATATTTTATTAACGAACGATCAATAAAAAATTAATAGCTTACAAAGGATAATAATTATTGTGACAGTTGTTTTAATATGCCCTCTACTTTGACTAATACAAGTAGTATAAAGGGTTTCTAAATAGATAATGGCATTTCTAACAGATTCAGTCCCATTTAAATATCCGATACCTTCTCTTATCCGTCGTTTAAATTCGTCGGCAGTTGACAGTTTCGGAAGTTGAGTCGGCGCTCCTTGGAGGCCAGGCGTAACTACCATTCTCCCTAATCCATTATCTATGTGCATTTAAATAGGTGAAAATTTCTTGACTTCTGTGATAACGAGCGCCATACTGCTGCCTAATTAAATTTCCCTTTCAGGCACTTCAACAAAGGGATGGGTAATATTTAAAAGCTCCAAGTAGCGCATATTTGAATTATGACAGTAATCAACAACAAAACACACGTCTAAGGAGGCAGTGTCCTAGCACTTGTTTTGTTTAAACGCCGTCATAGCCACCAGCATATTATTTGTAATAGATAAATATTTCAAAAAGTAAAAATATTCAGGCATATACAACCTTACATAAAATTGTTTTAATTTTTAAAGCTAAATGTGACAAGATTATAAAAATAGGTAGTTCCTATTAAAAAAAGTTTTTTGGCAGTTTTTTTAATTTCAATTTTAATGTTATTTTTCGCGTACCCCGTATTAACATGTAACGAAATTTCTTATGAAATCCGTTATTCGAATCTTTTAACTACAACAAAAATTACTCAGGTGAAACAATAAACGTTTCAGAATGAAGAGAATGGCAGATATTTTAAGTCTTGCAAACGTCATTTTTCGCATAAAAAATTAAAAATGTCAAAAACGGATAGACTATACATAATGAATTAAAGAAGTTGTATATCAATAGTAAAACAGAACTAAACAAATGGATAAAAACATCGCAAAGAATAGGTCGAAGGCCTAATATAAATAAAATAACAGGAGAAGAAGACACCATGATTATCCCAAACTGAAAAAAGATTTGGACGCTCTCTATGCGGTTGTGTATCAGATAGTAATAGACTTTTCAAGCTTTAAAATATAATTCGTTCAATTAGCAATCTAGTAGCATTTTTCCCACTGATTACAATGGTGAAAACAGAAAAAAATTGAATTATCAGCACATTTCTCTTTTAGACTAGATGGATACAAGTGGTTGCAAAATAAAACTCTTTTATTATCCATTTTGAGCCTAGACAATAATAATACCAATTTTCAAATCTTCATTTATTGCAAAAAAATTAATCTAGTTTAAACAGTTTCATTATTTCTAAAATTGTTCAATAGAATACTACTTGTCAAAAAAATTAGTTTTAATTTGTTATAGCAGTTGATATGAATTAGTAAAATTAATTTTACTGTATCACTTATTCAAAAATCGTTTTTATACATGAAGAAAAGTGCGATATGTTAAAATGCAGTTTGGCAAACAGTAAATCGTCTGTAGGGGCAAGAAAACGATACCACATGACCAATTTTTGTCTGCGCCTTTATCAAATCTTTAGAAATAATGAAAATGTTTATGGAAAAAAGACGAAAAAAATGTATTTTATGTGAAAACGTGAAAATTGGTGTTCTTGGATATTTTGAAGCATATCTAATTCTATTCCAGACATAGTCAAAGACGCTAACCTATCCTTTAATACTATCCAAAGGATTTTAAAAAAATACAAATTTTGCCCTTATAAACTTCAACCAGCTCAAGTGCTTTTATATATTTTTACGTTAATTGGTGAGCGGTTCATTGCAAATATTACTGAAATTCTGGATTTTTTTCCCGATAAGTTTAACCGCATACGTAGACAGAATCTCCGTGTCCAATCAACTTATAACTTCCCAGGCAAAGAGTATAAGATAGACGGGAAGGCTGCCATTAGTGGCAATGTTAAAAAGCGTACACGAGTTTCAACGCCTCTAGTAATTGTGTCCAGTCATGAAAACGGAAAACGCGCGGGACGTAAGTTTGAAAGGTAAAATGTGAAAAAAAAAGTCGAAATAGTTTTAATTTTTTTTTATTAAAATATAAATAAACTGTAGTATTTTCAGTGTGACGCATTACTTTAAACCGCCATGACAGTACTTTAGTACTTGGACACAAATACGAGATGGCATGCGTAACCGTATACGCGACCTCCCCGTCTACCTTATACTCTTTGTTCCCACACACATATCAATTTTTGACAGTCGTTTTCAAAAATAGGTTTGCTACAAATGGACCTATTCCGTGGCCTCCTAGGTCACCCGATATAACCCAACTTGATTTCTACTTGTAGAGTTATTTAAAGAAATTTATAAGGAACACGTTGACGTTTTAAGAGCTGGAATAAGAGAAAAAATAAACCAGATAGATGGTAGAACAATGCTGAAGGCAATTCGCACAATAGAAAACCGTGCTCAAAAATGTATTAAAGTAGGAGGAGCTGTTTTTTTGAACACACCGTAAAACAACTTTGATAGTTAATCATAAATCAATTAGGTTTTTTAGTTTTTTTGGAGTTTTATTTCGCAACCAGTCATAGCCATCTACTCTAAAAGAGAAACTTTCTGATAATGTTAGAGTAAAAGATATACAGGGTCTTAAATTTTAAAAGGGTACATTTTCCTCATTTTTTCCTAAACCCTACATTCACTTGTTTTTCTGTTTTCACAGTCGTAAACAGTGGAAAAAATGCTACTAGTTTGCTAATTTAACCGACTTTGTATTTATACTCATAACAAAGTTACCAATGATGAACCCTGAAATTACATCAGTCTGTATATTTATTATGTTTTGGTTAGTTGGAGTCTGTTGGGAAAAAAAGTAAAGGAAATTTATGTATGGCTAGCAAACCGCTGAATAAAGGGATGATTATTAGTATTACCTGGTCGTATCGATTCTTGGGAATGATGACCCTGGTGTTCTTGTCTTCCATGTGAATGATCAGGCCCCGGATCTGAGGTAGGGTGTAGCTGAAATTCCGAAAATCCTGCGAACATAAAATTTACCATGAAAAAGGAGCAGTACAACTTTTCGCTCACCCTTACCGCGAGCAAATTGATAATCGTGTGGCCGATTTCGACGAAAACGCTGTCGCGATGTCGAGTGGATATGATCGGACTCGGGTAGTACCTATACTCGGCGCCTAACCTCAAAATTAGCCTCAAAGGAAACAGCTTCGCCCACGGCGTCTCCCACCTTAAACCAAAACCACCCGGCACATAATAATAATTATATTTCGAATTGCCGTTCTCGAATTACAATAACCACTTGTAGTCACAATTTTTTCCCAGCTCGGTCTGCACGAATTTTGAAGCCAAATTTCCGTAGTACGGTCCTTAGCTCCTATCTCGCTCACATATTTACCTCCCGCCACTAGCCTTCACTGCAATTTTTTCGTATGCTCGGTATTGACGCTTAAATATTTTGGGACGTGACTGTTTTTAAAATGGGAAAGGTCTCAAACAAAGTGCCCCATAAGCAGAAGAAAAAATTGAAAAAATTATTTTAGTTATTAGAATACTCAGGTATGTATGGATATCGTTATTTTATTTTCCTTTTTTCAGTCTGGCTAGACAAATGTCTTATTTTTAAAAGAAGAGGGTTTACATATGTAATACCCTTAACAGAATTCACATGAATTCTATTGTTTGGCACCGTCAAACGCAGTGCAATTACATTATTTTTTTCAATAAAGTATTCACATGCATACTAAATTGAATATAATACCCTTAACTTAGTTTTTCGTACAGAATTAATATGAATTTGTTTGAGTTCTACCATTTAAAAGAAGGATAAAATTACCCAATCATTTTCTTCAAAAAGAACTTTGGTTACCCAGAGGAAAAGTCAACCTAAAGCGGGCCATTCGGAAATACCTCAACGTTCTCAAACTCCAGGCGCTCTCACCCACGGGATCGTATGAAAAAGGAGGAGGGGAGATATTGTTCCAGGGTCACATATACTCGCCTCTAACAGTGCTTCCAGAAGCCACAAAACAGTTATTAATACATAAGGTAAATACCGGTTACGCAGGCCGACTTTCTAATTATTTAGATAAATGGGCCCTAATTACTCATGAACATATTGTCCTCTCTTGGGTTTCTGCTCATAATTTTTTTTAACAAAAAACCAGTACAAACGCATTTACCTAAACAATGTTTTCCTTTAAATGAGTTGTCTAAATTAGAGGATGCTGTTTCGAAATTATTACAAGTGGGGCAGTGTCAAAAACGCACTAAAAATTTGGGCAGTTTTTATCAGCAATCTTCTTGGTCCCCAAGCCTGATGATTCGTCCAGGGTTATTTTGTATGTTAAGGCTTTGAACCGCTTCCTATATTCTCCTCATTTTAAATTAGAGGATCACAGGTCTTGAAATTAATACCCCAAACTGTTTCTTTACATCACTGGATATTAAAGATGCATATTTTTTGATTCCAGTTAATAATAAATTTAGAAAACATTTTCTTTTAAAGGTTCTTATTATACCTTTTGGTCTTTGTACAGCGCCTTTCGTCTTTACAAAGACCATGAAGCCTGTAGTAAAATTTTTAAGGTCTAACGGCATTGTCTGTAGTATTTATTTAGATGGTATTCTAATCATCAGTAAAACTATAGAAGCTGGTAGGATAGACAGTCAAACTACAAAATGTTTTTTGGAGTCCTGGTACCTTTTTGGGTTTTGTATATAACTCCATATCGCTTAAAGCTTTTTCGCCAACAGAAAAAAAGGATTCTTCTTTTCGTTCGTAGCTGCTTGCCCCGCTGTTAAATACGGTTGGGTTCATCTAAAAATCTTAGAGAGAAAAAAGTACTGAGCGTTCTGCTCTAGTAACTAGGATTATCATGCAACTCTATTGCTCTCAGACTGTATTAAATCGGGGTTACATTGGTGGTACCAGACTGTAAGTCAGAACAAGGGTACTTCTATAGTGACAAATTCAATATTAGCTCTGGAAATATGTTCTGACCCTTATCTAATGGGCTGGGGTGCCAAATGTATGAATAAAGTTACGCATGGTTTTTGGCATTGTTAGCCGCGTTTAACGCACTTAGATCATTTGCATTAGGATGTTCGAATTGTTTCATTTTGCTTAGAATAGATAATGTACGAGCCATAGCATGCATCAATTGTATAGGAAGTGTAAGATTTAAAAATATTAATGAAATCACAAGAAAAATTTGGCTGTGGTGTGAATATATAAATATTTTCTTAACTGCCTCATGTATTGATACTAAGAACAATATCTATGCAGATAGGGAATCCCGTTCTACACCATTGACCTATTTGCAACACAATTAAATGCAAACTGTATTAGATATATCTCGTGAAAACCTTTAGTTTTCACACCAAACCAAATTCTCCTTTTTTCACCTTTCAGAAACTGCCACCCATGGTAAAACCTTTCCCTGGAGGCTGGAGTGTTATCCGAGAGGCTTTTCACAGAAGAGGTGTCCCGGAAATAGAACTTCAATCTATTAAATTATCAAGTTCATCTACCTTAAAACAATAAAATATATACTTAAGAAAATGGTGGGAGTTTTGAATACTCCCTAAATTTGATACTAACACTTTTAAGCACCCAATTTCATAAGGGTGCATCATATTCAACCATTAACTCGCAACATGCAGCCATGGTTTTGCGTTTTTCGGTAGAAAATTCATATAAGCTTATTTTAAAACGTTTTTGGTAAGGCATCTATAACCAAAAACCATCCAGTACCTGGGACCCCCATCCTGTACTGTTATGCCTGGCCAGTTTATTTCCTCTGTCTAATATTTCTAGGCTACATTTCACAATGAAGCTAACTACTTTATTAGCGGTATGCCATAGACTACAATCTCTGACAAGAATCCGTTTACAAAATATCGTTCAATTCCCAGAAATTAGAATTTCAGATAAAATTAAAACTTCATCTAATAAACATTTACAACCATTATTAGTAATACCATATCACTAAAAATCTTCGTCCTCCTGACACTGACTTTTTCATACTCACTGTTTACAAGCCTTTTCGCCCAGTGTCAACGCAAAGATTAAGCAAATGGATTAAGCTTACTCTTGCAGCTAGTGGTATCGATACCACCCATTTTTCGGGTTATAGCACTCGCTATGCTGCTACTTCGGTAGCCTTTAGGGCAGGAATATCCATTGAAGTTATATGGAATACGGCAGGCTGGACTCAAAAGTCCAACATGTATTTATAATGTTGCTTATTCAGTTAATATTAATATGTTGCAATGCAATTGAGTGGGTTATTGTTATATTTACAACAATGTTATTTTTTATTTTTTTTATTGATCCGTTTGAAGAATTACAAATCCATCCCATCATCCCACCCCAGGTTGATCTAGAATTTTTAGCAAAATTGCAGTGAAGGCTCGTCGTAGGCGATAGGTAAACATGTGAGCGAGATAAAATTCGTGCAAACCAAGCTGGAAAAAAATTGTGACTACAAGTAGTTACTGCAATTCTACAAATTCTGCAAATATACAGAATTTTATTACGAACCCAACGATATATGATTGACTTTCCAAATAGTGGAACAGCTAATGATTGACACGATCTAAAGTGTCAATAATTTCATGTAAAAATAAAGTGTGATTGCGAGCGCTATATCTTTTTTCATGTACGGCAGAGAAGGATGTACAATAGCAGCTGCGCATAAGACTCTTGCCAGAAAGAGAAAGGCGTGTGTTCAGTTCTCTGTGTATAAAACAAAGATAAATATATTCCTTCATTTAAAATTATTTTGGAGTCTTACCGCGTTTACAATGTATATAGTACTCCGTCTATTATTTATTAGTGTATTATTGTTTTAATAATTTTCAATAAACAAAAATGAAGAAGTGTTTTGTATGTGGTGAAACATCACAAATTATTGATTTTGACAATAATGTTTTTAGAACTTGTTATTTAAAAATACTATTTCGAAAAGAACGTGGATTTAAGTACGGTGATGTTGTTTTAACCGAAGAATCTATGGGTAATTTAGGTAAGTAAATAAGTAAATAATTTAAGTAAGCACAAAAAATTAAAAATAAAATAATGATTTGAGGTTAAACACGGCTATTAGAGAAAAAGTTTAGTCTACCAATTTCTAACGCAGATTTTTTGTATTATAGCAATTAATCATAATTTAAGGATAAAAAATACTTCTATAACGTTTTATAATAATAAAAAATATTTTTTCAACAATTAACTACTTAAATTATTTACGCTTTTTTTTCTTTAATATTGAATCTAATTACTTATTTTATTATTTAATTATTTAATTGGTTTAATAAGTATGATATAAGAAAGTTTAAAAAGTAATGTAATATAAAATAAAACTTGTTAATACGCGCTAAAAAAATTGTATTCCTTAATTGCAATAAATTTTAAATCATTTTACAAACTTTTAAAGCTAATAATCCTATAACCTGTAAGGCTCCAAAATAATTTTAAGTGGGGGAATATATTTATCTTTGTCTTATACACAGAGAACTGAACACACGCCTTTCTCTTTCTGGCAAGAGTCTTATGCGCACCTGTTATTGTACATCCTTCTCTGCCGTACATGAAAAAAGATATAGCGCTCGCGGTCACACTATATTTTTAAATGAAATTATTGAAACTTTAGATCGTGTCAATCATTAGCTTTGCCACGATTTGGAAAGTCAATCATATATCGTTGGGTTCGTAATAAAATAATGTATATTTACATAGTTAATTTTTAAAGAAAAAGAATGAGGGTAAATCACTACATCCGATTACCTGTTTACACCTGGTTGACACGTATTGTTGCCTAAAAAAAGGTAGTCAAACATTGTATGGCATTTTCTATATACTTTTTTTCTTTAATTGAGACTAAATTTATAAAGAAAAATACTGACGGTAACCAAGAAAAAAAATGAAATTAATTAATTTTTAATTAAAAATAGTCTTGCTAAGATATAGACTATCAATCATTTCTCATTTGATTACTCAATAAGTTTTATTATTAAAAAAATATATTTTATCACGGAAAAGAATGAGGGGTGTTGTTCTTAAACCGGATCCTCTACTACTATAGTCGGTTCGATTTGCGATTGTAATGTCGGAGAAAACAGAAGGTGCCTTAGTATTTTACCTGCTTCCACTCGTATACTAATGGCAAAACCCACAGATGGGTCGAATTACGGGATAATTACAGTAGCAAATTATTTTTGTTAAAAAATGTAATTGAGGCAAAGCACGACGATACGGCATTACTCCCAAGTAATATAATCGTGATCGTTAGTAACGGCTATCTTGCATTGATCAGATAGACATTTAGGGCGGAACAACATTCATTGAAGTATAAGTTAAGTTACTAAATAGATTTAATGCCAAGTGGTTAGGCCACCCGTTCCACATATATTTCTGTGTTTCACCGAGCGCTGCCGATTGATCTCAGTTGTGTGAACATATTATTTTTGTGCTCTGTTTCTTTTGTAATTGTAAAAGTAAAATGAATAAGTGTGAACATTTGTCCATTTAGTCAATGAGGAGGCCATAAGCTCGACATAGCCGCAAAATAAACGCAACAAGTAGAAAAATTCGAATATTTTTTTTGTTTAATGCCTTTTGCTCTATCTCTGCGATGAAGTGGTGTCTTGTTCAACCGTATACAACTGTTGCCAATAATCAAACAGAATGGTTTTGTTATGTCTCAACAGATGCAAATTGGCTGAACGGCAAGTTGAACAGCGACATATTATTCTATGGCATCTAATCATCCAAATGCAAGTTTAAAAAGAAAGTTTGGTGTCTTTATGGAAGTAGAGTTTTGAAAATGAATAAAATATTATTAGAGGAATTATTGGATCTCCCCCTTGTAGTAAGTATTTAAAGTCTCGTCGATCTATTTACTTACATAAATATAAAAGGAGGTCTGTTAATCTACCATTTATATAGGAGACTTTGTGTTTCTACAGGTAGCTGCTACAACTTGGTTGCAGTGGTAGATACTATTCCACTGGAAAGGTCAATACCAATTCGAAATTAAAAATTTTATGAAATCAGCATCCCTCAGGATACCTTGGATGACTCTTACATAGTCGTTTTATAATGACCAGACATACATTGGAGGAATTTTATATGACTATAAAAATGTGTTTCACTTTTTGGCTTGCCTTTAAGACTTTATCTAACGAATTAAACCTTATCAAAGGTAACAAAAGATACCATTTGACACAAAGGGCTTTGTTCACATTATGGATGCTGGAGCAACAAGAAAGTTTAAGAGCTTCAGCAGACGGTTTCAAGTACTGCAAATGTCATTTGTAGCACTTGACATGAAATGATAGTGTCTTAGTAAAAAAAATCTGGTAAATAACAATTGTGTGCATGAGCTTTTTCTCAGTTGATGAAACTTTTAATCTTCTAACTAGTTTCAAAGTAACAAATCCTAATAACAACCAGTACATATGTGGCTATTTTTCGGTATACCTGGGATACCAGGTTGTTAGATGGAACACACATATCGTCATTAAAGCCCCACATCATAACGCAAATTACTATTACAATAGAAATAATTTCACTCCATTATTCTACAGTCAGTTTTGGATGAGAAAAGAAAATTTACTAACATCTTTGCTGACGCTGCTGACTAATGAACATTCTATAATAAATCAAAATCAGCATTTAATATATTTTTATAACCATACTTTTTTTATAACCATATAGAGATAATGGACATCTGACACCTCAGCAAGTACGATTAAGTACATTCCTTAGTTCTGTGAGTGTTTTAATTGAACAAAGCTTTGGATTATGGAGAGGAAAATTTAAAAAGTTCAGGTTAGAAATGGGTCAGTGATGACAAAATTCCATCAGTTATATGTAACTGAAGCATGTGTGCTGCATAATCTGTTTACAACTTATGAAAACTCTAACCCTGAAGAAGTAGAACGTATATCCCATATAGAAAATTTTCATGGAAACGAAAACAACTTACATCAAATTGAAGTACAGATGACAAGAGACTACATAGCAAATGTATTATGAGTTAGTAATTATTGTTATAGTTAAAATATTTGATATTTTTTATTTACAAAGTCTTTATCGCATTGTTTCAAGATATTTTGTCCGAACAAGCTTTTCTTTTTGTCTTCATTAATCACTTGGCCTTTTGCAGTGTAAATTCTTCAATAAGTAATTGGAGATATACAGTTTGTTGGATTTATTGATCTATCTTCTTTAAAAATATAATTAAATATATTAAAATGTTCCCAATCAATTCTTCCTTTTCCAGTAGTTTTTTTTATTGTTATTATCAGTAATCTTTTTGTATGTGTGTTTTATATTTCTTATTTTCTATCAAATAGTTCACCTTCCATGCTATAAGCTCTAAGTTTCCTTTCTTTTGAAATTTTATCCCAAACAATTTTGGCTTTCGAAATTGTTTCATGCATTTCTTATATTCCTCCAAAAGTAATAAAGTAGTAAATAAGTAATGTAAAGAAAGAAAATAAGGTATCTGAAAAATTTTGCGAAATAACATTCACTATCATTCATGGATCGCTTCTTCTAATCTTTTAATACCAAATTCAACAAATGTTCGTGGAGTAGTATCTACATGTTTTCATCTAAACATGTGGAATATTCTATTCATTCGCACAGAGAAATATCAAAATTTATTTACCTGTGATATTCTGCAATAAGTGTATAATTTTCAATAATTGATCAGTTACTAGATACTAATTTTCTGAGGATATTTCCATTTTTCTTCCACTTTTGATAATTTATGAACAAAATGAACAAGAATTTTGTATCTAATATAGCTGTTATATTTCAACTTAACCACAAGAAAAAAGCGGTCGACCAACAGATCAATTAAAAAGGGCTTTTCCTTGCAGCATTAAACAAAACAGATTTTAATTTATCTCAGCTTTTAAAATAGTTACCACCTTAATTATGGTTAACATTAGAAAAAATTGTAGAAACCGAGGTTTAAATTTCACGACAACAATTACACTCCCCGGTAACCATTTCAGAAACTTAAAAATAATTTCCTTAGCCGATTTACTTAATATATTTTTTTAGATACGGTATTACTGGGATACATACCTGTGAATCAGTATGCCGATCAAAAACGGTTCCCTCGGCCTGATGACGTTCTCCAAGCACTGAAACGTCGGTTTGATGTAAACGAAGCCCGCGTGGTTCTTCGAGCCGAGGAAATTGCCCGAGTCGTGCAACGAGATTCCTAGCTCCTTCACCGAAGTGCCCCTTACGGCGTCCACGTACACGTTGTGGATGTGAAAGAACAGATCCTTCGGCACGCTAATCTCCTCTTTGGTAAACTCGAGTAGAATTACGATCTCGTCGTTGCCGACGTTCACGAGACCATCGGTGGTGAAACACCACGCCTCCTTGTTGATGCAACAGCTCACTGAAACCGCGGAATCTTTGAGTCGCTCTATTCTAACGTCTAAATCGACTCACTGTTTATGATCCTGACGTGCACGAAGAGGTTAGGGTTGATTGCGAACGTCAGCGTCTCGTTTTTGAGCATCTCCACTACGCCCGGTGAATTCAGACAGTCGGTATATGAAACGGCTGCATAAGAAGACACTTTTTTTAAAGAGGATAGCGCTGTTCAACCGGGGCAGTCCACGAATTAAGTCATTTGCCGTATGGCAAGAGTGGGAGGGCGAGTTATAATTATAATTAACTAGTAAATTGTTTAATATTGATTTATTTGTAAAGTTCAGGGAAATTGTGTAGTTACGTCATAGCATGATATATTTACCCATGCAATTTCGTTTGTCAGTTTTGAAATCCGTGTCAAAAGCAGCGTCAAATCAAAATTTTTAAATTTCGAGGATAATTATATCGTTTCAAAATGCCCCAACGGTTTAGTAAAAAAAAATTAGCCCTTATTTTAAAACTTGTCGATTATTTGAAAATGTTTTTGCCCTTAAACGCTGTACACAATGTACGAGGTTAGAGCCAAAATTTCCCGGCCTGACATAGATGCAGTTCCAGTATCACGATAAAACATTGTCTTCTTTTAAATATATTTCTTAGTAGGCTGCGAAAAAAAAATTGAAGTCTTGCGTCAAATAGTTTTTTATTAACAGCATTTTAAACAAGACATGTCCGAAAAAATGTCGCAATTAACGCAAACTGAGTATAGAGAAGTCATAAAATTATTGATAAAAGAAGGGTTAGCACCTAAAATTATTAAAGAAAGGCTGGACGGCCAAAGTTCTCCTTCGTATTGTGTAGTGAAAGAATGGGCAAAACGTTTTCGAATGGGACAGGAGTCCCTTGAAGATGATTCAAGAACTGCTCGACCAGTGGAGGTCATAACGGAAGATATTGTTGCTATTGTGGAAGAGGTAGTATTGAGTGATCGACGTTTAAAGGTCAAGGAAATCTCAGAAATTACTAAGCTTTCTGATACAAGTGTTCGTCAAATCCTGCATGATCATCATGCAGGTATGCATAAGGTTAGTGCAAGATTGGTTCCTAAAAACCTTTCGGCTATTCAAAAACAACGCCGTGTCCAGTGTGCGCGGTCTTTTTAGGAACTCCGTGGGTTGAGATGAAACTATGGTTCTCTATTATGACCCTCTATCGAAAAAAGAATCAATGGAGTGGCGTCGTAAGGGTGAAGCACCTCCAAGAAAATTCAGTTAACAAAAAAGGTGATGGCCATGATTTTTTGAGATTGTGAAGGAATTCTCTTAATAGATTTGCACGATAATGCACCTGTCCATACTGCTGGTGTTGCACAAGCTGCGATTATAGAGTGTGAGTTCCAACAGATAGATCATCCTCCCTATAGTCCAAATATGGCCCCCAGCGACTATTATTTGTTTGGATATGTGAAAATGGACTTACGTGGGCGGCGGCTTAACGACGAAGTTGAGTTAAAAGAGGCTTTTTTAGCTCTTTTTGCAGACAAACCAAAAGAACATATTTTTAAAGGGGTTGAGTTGTTAATAAAGAGATGTAATAAGTGTATTGAAGGGAGATTATATTGAAAAATAATAAAAAATTGTTACTCTACTTTGTTTCTTTCATATTCATGCCGGGAAATTTTGGCGCTTGTAAGTACTTACTGTCCCCATACTTGAAACACTCTCATTTCTATGAACGAGCAATTTAAGTTCCTGAAAACTATTAAATATTATGTCTTATTGTATCGTGTTCTTCTTCATGATTATTCTTCCAATCTCCAATCGTTTGTAAAGAAATTTAATTTTTCGATTTTCGCTTAGAAAAATAAAAACCCCTTCTCTGCATATTCATAACAATATCGTGAATATGACACCATGTAGAGAATGATTATCATTATTATTTCTCACTTAAGTAATTGTCTATCTATTTTATTAAAACATTTCAAAAAATAAAAGTACAAATACAAAGTACGTAAACTCTGAGTTGTATTTTGAAATCTTTATCATTATTTCTTACTATTGCTTTATCTCATTATCACTTGTTTGACCAAGAAATACTTTTTACATGCAGTCATAAGTTTCTACAATAACCATATTTGGGCTGATGAAAACCCCCATGCAGTTGTACAATTTACACATCAAGAACAGATTTGGGTAAATTTTTGGGTTAGAATTATTGGAAATTATTTAATTGGACCCTTTTTCCTACCAGAAAGGCTAAATGAAACAGAATATTTAAATCACACATTTAATAACCGCGGCGGACCTCCGCCATGGATTGCTAGGTCCCCAGATTTAAATAGTGTGAATTTTTTCTTACTTTCTTTCTTTCTTAAAATTCTGATTTATCGCACCCCAGTTAACACTACAGAAGATCTGAAGAACCGTATAAGAGCTTCGTGCAATTTAATAAGAAACACTGGAGGTATGGTCTGTTCATAGATATAAGGAAGTGGCCAATTGCTTTTGAATGCAATTATCCAAGGGTGGTCATTAACGTACAATGCAACAAGATTATTCCTAAAGTTTCGGAATTTAAATTCAGGTAAAATTGTGGTCCGTAATAGAAAATAATTTTATATTTACCTGTGTTTAATATTCTTTGGTTTGGTATACTACTTAGTTAAAGTTTATTAGTAATCATTCTTATTTCGTGTGTAATACAGCGTGTGTTGAATCGTGTGCGAATTATGCAAAATATGTGCGAGTCTAGTGTATCTCAGGAGATGCTCCCGCCCAAATGTAGAAAATACTATTCTATTGAGACTAAAGAAGTTATAAACAATGTTTATTTGACTCTCATTGAACGTGGTGCCAGCGAGCAAGCATTTTTAGAAGAAACGGCCACACTGATGAAAATTCCAACATCAACTGTGTGGAAAATTGTGAATAATCCCATTTCAGCGAGGAAAAAATGAAGCGATGCTGACATTTTCCCGTGTTAACTCCAATGTCCTCAAACTTATAGAAACCGAAGTTTTTAACATCCCTCCACAAAGTTGGGCAAATTCATATAGAAAAAGCAGAACAATCGTCTATCCATATTGCAAATAATATAGAACAAATAATAATTAGAACTGGCAATGATAGCGATAGTGATACTGATATATTATGTGAATAATTTTAAGTAATTTAAGTAGGTAATAAAAAGAATTTGTAATTTTATTTTAGATTGAAACATAAATACATTCATAAATAAATAAATATTGTTTAGTATCTTTCCTAACTAAACCCCAAATAATTAAATTCTAAGCAAAGTACGGACCTGTTCGGCCATATTTCATTCTTGCAGCTTGCCCGGGTCTTTCCCTTAATTCGTATCAGTTAGTCACTTTCTTATATCTATGAACAGACTTTATACTTCAATAAGTGCGCGACAATATGAGGAAAAGAGCTGAAGCGTGTATCCTTCAAGGTGGAGGACACTGTCAACAACAAAAGGTTGTTATTAATTTAAAACAGCCAATTTTGTTAAAAATTATTAATGCTAGGCAATGTTATTTCATTAAAACAGTAAAAAGAACAGTCTTCCAATTTTTTTTTTCCGAAAGGCAGCAGTTGATAACTAAAAACTAGATATTTTGTTTTAGATAGATATTTTATTTCTCACAAAAAAAAGTTATTAATTGAACCAGTGCGGTGGTGATCTAATTAATCAAAATATTATTCATTCATAGACAATCAATCAGTGACACGCAACTGATTTCCTTAAAAAAAAGACATTTACATTCAATTATGAATGAACGAATGAATTTTTTTTTAGTATGTCGCACGGTTTTCACTTTTAAAACATTTTATTAACAACCGGTGCAGGAAAATTTGTAAATAGTAATCCAGTAGCCTGGAAGTTTCTTTGAAAAATTCTAGTTGGTTGTTCTCGTAAATTTTATCGTTGAAAAATTTTTTAACTTAACTGAAATAAACAACTCAAAAATAATTAGGTTTAGATAAATGCAAGAATTGTAACAAATTTAGAAGATGGTTGATCCTTATCAGCAGAGACCTAACATAAACAGGACAAGAAGAAGAAACACCTCGAAGGAATTTAATATTTTGAGCAATTCCATCCGAATTAATCACAGTCTTCAGCTCATGGTCATGAAAGGCATTATGAAGTTTTGTTCAAGAGAAAATTCTTTCATACTTCCTGCATAGCGTGCCATAGCTCCTGGCTGCTTGGAAGCATAAAATTTCTTCAAAACATCCGTTTCATCATTATCCCCAGTATGTTTTCGATTGGGTTGATGTCAGAACTGTTACTTGGCCATAGCAAGGTTTCAATGTTGACATTTTGGAGGAATTACGTAATGATATTTGACCAACAAATCTTGTCTTAATCCGAAGTACCATTGCCATTTCTTTGGATGGAATCCATCGGTATACATTTATACTAAAATGACCTGCAGCTCTTCAGGATTTTTTCTTTTCTGCACTTGATAGTTAAGAGAGAAAATAAGCGAGAGCGGTCTATCTCGGTCTCGACTATCCGAAGGAGAGCCTGATCTTCTTGAACCGAATTAACTGTTTGCCTGCCTTTCCTTTCAAACGTTCTTCTTGTCCCCACCTTTAATTAATAGATAAAACGGTTGCCCCGTTTACATTAAATGAGCTGCATTTTAGGCTTCATTTTATTTTCTAACGTATTTTTGACAACGCTGACAATTTTCTTTTTTCATTTCACAGTGGCAGTATTAGAAATATGAAAACAATGAAATTTGCACGACAAAGACGTGGTTTCACTATAATACACACAAAAAGTGCTTTGACAGTCGTATCCGTTTTTTATGAAGCCAGAGGTACATTACATACAAGCTATTAACAAAAAGGCATTTTTATGAGTAAGGACTAAATTTTTGCGTCTACAAACCAATGCTGTGAGAATTCCCGCCAATTTCATAATTTAAAATTTAATTCATGCTCCATTGGCGGCACATCAGTGACGTAGAGCATTCCCAGGCATTATTACATAAACATAATTAATAGCAATTTTGAAATTTTGTTTTCAACGATGGTTTCCTAATTTAATTCATTTTAATTACATATTTTTCGAGAGTAGCTCCTGCTACGTCTGTTTGGAAGACGTCGCTTGTCTTTGTCGGTAATAAAGATTATTATTATCAATACTAAGTGTTAAAATTTAAAACTGACCTGTTTTACTTTTGCTGACGGTAGGTGGGAGTGCTTTCTCATCCTCGGGAATGAACGACCGCATTTGAACGTCCACCTTGAGGGTTTCGCAGTTTGATTTTTCGGGGCTTGGCGCCTTCACTTCATTTCCCTCATTTTTGGCGCCACCTTTACGGCCTTGATTGTAATTAAAATCGTTGTCCAAGTTCGTCAGGTCGCTCCCGGGGGCGATACCGTCACAGAACATCACCGACTTGTTCGTTTTCGACTTGTTGGAACCTAAAACGGGTTCGTTCACCGATGCGGGGGGCGAAAAACATTTAGCCGACCACCTTTTCGTTTTAGAACGCCCACCGGCACCATGACAGCCGGGGGGTTCGAACTCATCTGCTCAGCTTGCTGCAAGGGTGACACGGTCGAGCAGTATTCCAGTGGGTTGTTCGGGTTCGGTCTGAACGCCAAAGGATTTTCCATTTCCACCACTGGGTCTTGGTCCTGATTAATGCCGGATTGGTCCCTAAAAATTTTGGCCAATACCAAAAAGGAATCAGTACAAATGATGGTATAGCGGACGTCACAAAGAGCCCTTCACTATTCTTATGCAAATGTGTGTTGTAAGGTATGAAACAAATTTGAAACTAGTTATATGTCCCAAACTGCAGACGAAACCCAAAACTAAGCGAAGATAACGCCTCGCTGACACCGCATTGAAAGCCCTATTTATTCGATTGTCACATTGTAAAATTGCTCTGAATTATTGCAGCCTTTGTATGGACTAGTCCGAATAAAACTTTATTTTGCTTTCTGTATAAATAACTGTTTTTAGAAACGCTCTCCCGAATTTTGAACATTTAAGTGGCGCAGATTTTTCTAAGTGCAGTAGTAGTACAATTAACCAGAACCTTCTGGGAGTGAAATCGCCAATCGTGGAAAGTTCGAAACTTTTGGATATTCGCTACGTGGATTCTCAAATCCTTCAGTACGCAGAACCAGCAGCAAGGGAAGCAGAACGACGGTCTACAAAGGTACAACCCGTTGGAGGAGTTGGAAAATTGAGCCGGAAAGGAGACGGAGAAATACGAAACCGTAAGTGCCATTTCCTTTTATCCCTCCGATACCTCTATATAAGGTCACTTGAAAGGATAGCTCAGGGCTCGCATTGCAAGCAATTAAGTTAAGAAAAAGTAAAAGAAAATCAAATCAAATATTAAATGAGCGATTCTGAAATCGAAAATCTCGAAAAGGAATTCAATTCAATTTTAAAGTTAGGGAACAAAACACAAACAAGACTGAAAACAATGACCCAACAAAGAAGCTCAGCTAGTGCAAATAGTGCGGAACCTAGATTTAATTGGAAATTTTTTAAATCCAATAAAACCTTACGGCGCTAAACAAATTTATTACTAAGTGCGAAATATTAATAAATTCCTACGTTAAATATGATCTTCGATTGTATCATAGACAAACTAGTTGGGAAAGCAGAGTAGGCAACCGATCAGAATTGACAGATTGGTTAAGCATAAAAGATGCGCTCATTCAATGCTTTGCAGATAGGAGAAATTTAGATCGTCTAATTCAGGAATTAACTAGAACAAGACCGTTCAAAAACGAACAGTTAGTTGATTTCGGTGGTAGACAACAACTTTTAAAGAGTAGTATAATACAGCGGATTAGTAATTCAGAAGATTTAGATCATAATGAAAAACTTTCACTTTCATAGCTGGATGCACCGGGACGCTCAAAAACAACATGCATTTAAAACAACCAGAATCTTTAGAGGAAGCCATTGCTTATGTTTCTGAATTTGAAAATTTCGAAAACCTCTGCGGAATCTAACAAATACAACAAAACAATTCCAAATGCCCAATTTTCAACAAAGTAATTCAAAACAATTCCAAATACCCAACTTCCAACAAAACAATGCAAAACAATTCCAAATACCAAATTTTCAACAATTCAACACGAAACAACATTTCAACAATTCCAAAATCAGCCGAATCTAAATAGATTTCAGCCTAGAATAAATCCCAACACAATTTTCATGCCAAACAATTTTAATTATTTTTCAAATCACAAACCACAATTTCCATCTCAACCAATAAATATTCAACCGAGGCAAACACCTCAAAGACGATTTCCAACAAATCGGGAAGTTTTCGGACCCCCACGAAAGATCTTCCAACCCAATCAAATATTGCGCAACCAACTTCCTAAACCGACAACAATGTCAGGTATCTCAAGACAAACAAACAACTCATTTACAAGACGACCGATAAGACAAAATTACTTTACAAACAACCCCCGAATTTTATCGCGGAAGAATTATTTAACAAAAAATGTGATGAAAACTTTGATTATCCTGTTAATCAAAACTGGTATAATGATCACAATGAATTTGAGGAAAATTATGAACAAAATGAGTATGAAGATACACAACAAACAACCAACCCTAATAGAAATTAATATTTCTTCTAACAACGCTTTACCGTATATTCAAATACGTAAACCAAATATTAAACTACTAATAGATACGGGTAGTACACGCTCGATACTACGTCCAACTATCGCTGAAAAATATCTTCCAAATTGCATTTATCATGAAAATAATGAAATAAAGACAACGGTAGGAAGTCAAAATACCAGATTTCAAGCTAGCATACAAGGATTTTCTGAATTTAACATTGTAACGAACTACCACTGCACCGATGCCATTATCTTAACCGCAACGCCTTGAAACGGCCGACGCAAAAAACCCTTTGATCCCGCTCGGACCCCGGCACATCACGACGAGTCCGAATTCCGACACGGGAGTTGCGGTTCGACGGCCTTACGCGACGGACGCGAAGTTTTATTTTCGTTTATTCACGCATTTTGATCAGTGCTTTTGAAACTAACTGTTAAAGAAGACACGCAAACTTAGTAAAATAGTAAGAAGTCTGTTCCGTGTTTTCGTGCTACCCACTTTACCCCTAGACGACCCCGTTCTCTTACAACATCGATTATCGAATAGAGTTTATCTTATTTGATTTTCATGACTTTTTTGACGGAGTAATAGGCTTAACTGATTTAATTAATATGAATCTGAACATCGATGTAATAAACAAAAAGTTAATAGGATTTAACAACGAAATTCCGTTCTAATATAGAAAACAATACCAGTAAATACCAGTAAGTGAAAGCAAAGTCGAACACACAAAAGAATTCATTGATTCTTTTAACACGTGCAAAAATGTGCTTACTTTGGAGCCAGTATTATCTTATCCGGACTTTACAAAGAGGTTTGAATTAACAACCGAAGCATCAAAATATACCATCTCAGGAATTTTATCCCAAGACGGACACTCAATATGCTACGCGTTAAGAACGCTGAACCCAGCAGAGATAAACTACTCGACAATTGAAAAGGAACTTTAAGCAATTGTTTGGAGCTGTAAATATTATAGACCTTATTTATTCAGACAAAAATGCATTATTTATACGAATCATAAACCCCTACAGTGGCTAATGTCATTAAAAGAGACGTTAGATGGAGACTTAAACTCGAGGAGTACGAGTATGAAATAAAATACAAAAAGGGTAAAAATAATCAAGCAGCGGAAGCTTTATCACGATATCCAATAGATATGAACGCTATTGAAACTGACTCGATATTTAACAACTTGGATGAAATTATAGGTCATTTAAATCCTCAAAACCCATTTGATCCGAAAGAAAAATCCAGTAAATTGTATGAAAAGATAAAGGATTTAAATGAAAAAATGAAAAAAAGCATTATTTCAAAAAGAAACGAAAATAGCGAAGAACTACCAGATTTTAGTGATCAAAAATGTGCTTTCATTAAAACAAAATTTAGAAGCAAAGAACTTCCTAAATTCAAGAAGATACCGTTAATAAACCAAACGGAAAACAAATTAATAACACCAAAGACAAGCTATCATAAAAGTAGTGCAAGGAAGCCAAAGGCTAATAAAAATCTATTCTTTCAGGGGACCAATGAAGATCAAAATGTTGACTCTTCTACTGGTAGCAGTTTTAACCGAACGAATAGTAACGACAGACGTACAAGTTACCAAACTCGTAAATTCTATACTTCCTGTCCAGATAGGTAACGCGAAGTTAATTTATAACAAACATACATTAATCCACTACGTAGATTTAAGTCAAATAATTAATCACATAAAAACCATAGAGAGTGCATTTAAAATAATTGAAGATAAGTTTAATGTTAAAAATATAGCCAATACTTGCCGAAAATTTACTTTTAAGAACTGAATATTTAATACAAATTACGATGAACGAGGCCTAATTATCGCGGTTGGTAAAAGAAATAAATGGCTATTTGGAACTCCTGACGCTGAGAACGAAAATTATTATAAAGCAGCAATAAATATACTCTAGAAAAACCAAAATAATTTAGCTAAAGAATTAGAACTACAAGTATCTTTATCAAAGGGTATAATTAATAATTATAACAAAACTATTGTGAAATTAAATGAAAACCAACGTAAACTACAAATTGGTTTAAAAACATTCCAAAATGCAGTATTAATGACGATAAATTCTTTACAAGACTATCTTAATTTTCACGAGATCATTACGCAATTATATTAAGATTGCCAAAATATTATAATGTTTCTAGATAACCTAGAAGACGCTATTATGTTTGCAAAAGTTAATGCGCTTCATAATAGTACTTTACCGATTTCGGAGTTGAATAAAATGCTTAAATATCTAGCATCAATTTATAAAGAACATCAAATTCCACAATTTAGAAGTATTTTATCTTCTTATCAAATTTTGGGAACTCAGGTAAATTTTGTTGACTCGAAAGTGATCTTTGCAGTCCATGTACCAATTTTAAGATCCGAAATATTTTCCTATTACCATATTTTCCCAATAATCCAAAATCAATCAATTTTTATACCCCAATACCCCTATATGGCACAAGCGGCGAAGAAGAGACAATGTCCCTTCACCGAAGTTTTCATCATTAAGAAGCTCTTCTCGGAAAGGGTACGAGAATTGAAGAAAATCGCATCCAAAGAGGAAGGCTGCCAAGAAGAAAATTATTAAGCTTTTTCGAAAAAACGCTCCGTTATTTTCGAAAGTTAAAGAGGAAGGAGTTATATGTCCCAAACTGCAGACGAAGCCCAAAGCTAAGCGAAGATAACGCACGGCTGACACCGCATCAAAAGCCCTATTTATTCGATACGACTGACATTTTTGAAGAATACATGAAAAACCAGAATGATGACTTTTCATTAAATCTAGTACTTTTGGCCAAGGTGAAATTCGCTATATAATTTTACATGATGGCTTTAAAAACAGCTTTATGGAGTATGCTAATTTTATTTTTAAATCAAGCTGCAAATTGGGAGACTACCATAATTTAATGAACACTGAAAATTTCGAAAGGTGATTTATATTTTTTTTTATGGGAAAAGCAGATTTTATAACCTAAAAGTTTTAGTTTTGTACCCATGGAAACTTTCATTACTTTCAATACTCGTATGCGTTGGGAAAAAACTAACTTATGTATTTTTTTTTTACTTTAAAAGGTGGTTCAGTCACAATATTAGGAACATTGCGGAATTGCTGAGCCATTACCTATGGGTGCTAGTGAAACAGCACTTGACAGAAAAACTGCATTATTTCAAAATACAATCTTTTATTAAGAATGGACAAGTTAGCAATGGAAAACCCCATCGCGTTTTGCTGCTTCCTCATTATTATTGCTAATTTAATGCGATAGAGATGGTTTGATCAGATTGTAAAACTATTGTAGGCACACAGACTGCCTTATAAGTAATGCTTGGGAAAGGTTAAAGTTGATTGATGCATCTAATATGCTCCCAGTTGTTATCGATATGCATAAATTATTTTCTTTGCTCTGCGTTATGGGTTTTTCTTGTTGAAGCATTGGTTTTTTTTTTTTTAAATAAACCTATCTAATTGATATTTGTTGTCTCCCATATCTTTGATGCGTTTTATTTCGTCCGTTCAGATAAATACGCCACTGAACCAAGTTCGATGGCGATAATCTCAGAACAAAATAATAATATGCACGTTTTGCGAATGACTGTTTTATCACCGTGTTCCTAGTAAACTCTACCACTTATAAAACGATGACTAAAGTCGACGTTGCAAATACCCTTACAAAGTTTAATTTAGTTTTAAGTATTGCATATCTGAGGGGGTCTACTTTAAACTGATTTATTAATTCAAATCGGAACGCAATGTAGCTAAGACATACCGATCATTTTTGATTACGTCACTATATGTGACGTAACTGCACAACTGCTCTGCACTGGACTATATTTACAAATATTTTGGGTTCCTAGTGCGTCGGTTGTTGATAAATCGAATTTGCTGATATTTCACCAATCATTCTGTTAAGTTTGACTTAAGGTAACGATATGATTCGAGAAACGACAGCAAGTTCGATTCTTCAACATCCACCGCAGGAACAATCCAGAAGATTTAAATAATTTTTCTAAAATATTTTTTTGAAAACTGTGAGTTTTATGAAACAATTGCATGAGACATTATCTTTAAATTTAGAAACGATGAATGATAGGGATGGCCTAATTCAATCCTTTTTTTTCTAATAGTAATATTTCCGTAATAAAAAATTAAAATATTATATATTTGTAGCGCGATATATCTACAACGATTTAGATTTTGACTTTTTAAACCTTAAATTTAAACAATTTAAACCCCTAAGTTTTTCGCATTTGTTTTAAAACAGATGTAGAGCTTATGTGTGATAAAAAAGATGAGCATAGAAAGACTAAAAGAATATGCGAACTGTATGACACTCTTATTACGTTAAACTAGTTTATAAGAGGGCAGAAAATGCATTTTTTTGTACAAAATATGCATTTTTTCCAATAATAGAGATTTGTTGGCCCGATACAGGCTATGTTTATTAGTTTATTACGTTACAACGGGGCCGACTAAGATACTTTACTGCTTTCTTAGATATGAATAGATTCATAGAATTACTCAGGATAAACCCACCCTATAGGGTATTGCCAGTAGAATCAAAAGATTCTTTGTTAAATTAATGAAATAATATTGCAAACACAAAGCACATTATTCGTAGTTAATGTTAACAATTTTAAAGTATTTATAAAATTTTTCTACTCAATTATTTAATAGGAAAAAAATAAAGAAAGATATATTATGTTTTTTGCTACTTTTATAAATTACATATTCAAGAAAATTTTTGGTAGGTAATGTCGACAATTTTAATGTATTTAGAACACTTTTCTACTCAAATATTTTATTTGGTAGACGTAGGAAAGATTTTTTGTAAAATTCGGGTTTTTAACGAACTTACACCAAAAATTGCTTGTTTTGGATATGACAGATTCATGCAGATAAAAAAATATTATTTTGTACCTATAGCTCTCACGAAATTGGATACCTGCTTCTTTGATAGATTCAGTGTCTTTAATAAATCAGTTTGATGTAGATTGCAACAAAAATTTAAGGTACTGTTGGGGGTGCATTTATAAAAAACTTATGTCAGTCATTGAAAATAACACAGGCTTTAAAATCCTAATAAAATATATCAAAAGGTTGCTAGACTTGCATAAATTAGAAACACAATTCCAAAACTAAAATACTGTCCAATACCATATGTAGATGTTGAGAGAAGTTTTTCCATTTTCAAAGATATGTTTACAGATAAAAGACACAATTTTCTTTTGAAAATTTTTGAAAAACATTTATTATCAATTGTTTTTATAACTGCAAAGAATAGTTTGTTAACTGTATGTTATTGTATGTATATCTGCATGTATCAATGGTATTGTTAAATTATTAATTGTATTATAATTTTTTTTATAATCACAAATAATATTTTGTTTTGTAAATTTGCTATGGTATAGGAAAAAATTATAGGAACGGGTTTAATTATAAAGAAATAGCTCTAGCTTTATTTAAAGTAACATTATTATTCATAATTTTTCATATAATAAAAATTAATATTTGCATTGTTTGTTCATTGCGATGCATATATTCTGAAAATTGTATCGTATTTTTTCCCACTCCTTATTTAAAAGTATTCTTCCGTATATTTTTTCTAATTATTATTACATTATTATTAAGTTTTTATTGCAGATTGGGGTACAGATGGTTTCCATATAGAACTCTATATTTATTTTTCGAAAAAAAATCCACAGGCTACTGTTATGTTAATCATCTTATTGGCTTCTTCAGAGCTTGACTGAACAGTTTCAATGAAGCTCTGAAGGAGGCAACAGCATGAGTGACGAAACGTTTGCTACTTCGACTCAACAAAACCAACGCAAGAGGATTCCAGAAGCTTTATAAAAAAAAAACTCTTTATTGTTTGGAACTGATTTTGTAATAGATAAATAAAAGGGCACATACTTATTCAATATGGCGTAACACTTTTGGCACACCCTAGCCTCGGCGTCCAAATATTGAAGTCTGAACTTGAGGTTGCAACATTTGGAGCACAACACGAGGCCGCACGCTCGGCAGTGATGGCGGCGTTTGATCATGGTGAATTTCGTGTCGCAATGCAGGCAAGCACTGGCGTCCGAGTCCGGAATCCACAAGGGGGCCTCTCTTCCCAACCACGACTTATCTAAATCGAAAAATTATAAGTCAAAGTTCACCGGAAGAAGTTGTGACACCAAATCTTACCCAAAAAACTGGTGGTGCTGCCGCTGGCTTGGACGGTACTTGTTTTGACATCGCCCTGCCCACTTTCCGATGGTTCACCGCTAGTAGATGGTTCTAATAACATACGTTTTAATGGCACTTACATAGATAAAATCCAAGATAAAAATGGTGTGTCAATTAAATGTTTTAGTTTGTTATAGGTTAAAAAATATTACTGAACTCTAATATTTCCTATCTAATACTTCACTGAAAAGTAAAGATCTAAAACACCTACCTGTTTTCTTTGATAGTAACTTAAGTTTCAACTTTCATTTTATATATACCGAGTGTTCTCGTAAGGACAACGAGAAGTTAAAAAAAATATATTAAGTAAATCGACCAAGAGAAGAGAGTAAGTAGTAGAGTAAAGAGGTTAGAGTTATTGTGCCCAAACAAATATTTAAAAAAATATCGGCTTTCTCTGTGATGAATTACATGTTTTAAACACTATAACACCCAAACAAATAGGAGGACCACAGTTTTCTTAAACTTCTTGGTGAAATTTTTGAGAAACGCACAAGTGAGGCACAAAGTCGCAGAACAGCTACAAATGCGAAAACTCATGTGATTTCCGCAAAAAAATAATTTGTAGTGAGTGCACTGGTAAATTTAGGATTATTCCAAGTCCTCCAGGATCACTCTATATCTCTGACTTATATGCACCAAAAACCTACCGGAAATGCCAAAACCTTGGAAAAAAACCATAGGTGACTTAGATTCGCTAAAAGGCTCAATGGAGGGAAGAAGGAAAGAGAACTTGGCAATCAAGGCTCAGTTAACAGATCTGAAGAATGAGGTAATGCTTGTTGACCAAAAACCACTTGAAGTGAGTTACAACTCCTTGAAAAAAAAGGAGACACGGCGGTAGTTAAGGTTTCAGAAGGCAAAATTGCAGCAGAAAATGAAATTGAACTTACCCTATTTGAAATTAAGAAGAGGGAACGTAGAGCAAACAATGTGTTAATTCTTGGTGTGGAAGAATCAGCAGACTGAGGAAAAAAGGAATGATGACAAATAAACAGTCATCAAGTTTTTCAGGAAAATGGAATTGAGCTTACATGACAATGCTAAAGTATTTGGACTTAGAAAAGAGGTGCTTAATAAAATAAGACCTATAGAAGTAGTATTATCGAGAAGACAAAAAACCCCATCAGCACTAAGAAACAAAAAACTATTGAACAACATTTCTGAAATGAATATATTAAAGCAGATCAGCCTGAAAATCAGTGAAAATATTTAAAACAAAAAATAGCAGAACTAGAAACACAAAAAAAAATTATGGGAAATAAAATTTAATTTTTCAAAAAACTTCAACAGGCTACTGTAATACTTTTTATAAAACTTCTGGATTCCTGATTCCTCTGAGGACGCCAACAGGATGATTGGCGAAACGTTAGCTAGTTTGAGTCAACAAAAACCGACGCAGGAGGAATCCAGAAGTTTTATAAAAAGCAAGAAAATTTAATTTTAAAATATATCAATGGGATTCCCAAAATTATTGAAAAACGTAAAAAAACTAAATGAAACAGAGGTAGTTGAAATCTCGTTTTGGTATAATAATTTGTCCTTAGTAGTAAATAAGGTTAATGAGGATAGAAATTAAGAGTACTATCTACATGTTCTACAGTAGTAATGATAACAGAGATCTGGCTGCAGGATGGCATTAACGACAGTTTATTCTCAATTGCAAAAAGGTGGAGGAGTAGGCGTTTTGGTAAATAATCAAATAAGGGGACATAGTATAAGTTACAGCATATCCTGAAAATACCATGTTGAACCACCTGTTGGCTCATTATGGCTTGATCAGCAAATAGGAAGACTTAAGATCATAGTGCTCTATCACAACTGAGCAGAACCCATCTTTTGTGTTTCGAGATTTCATTCACCCAAACATAAATAAATTGGGACAACCTATTGGTGTGCTTGGTGATTTTATGAATGTGTCAAGAAATTAATATCCACCAACTGATCATCTTTCCTACCTGATATAGAAACACTCAAAGCTCTCTCTTGGACTTATTTTTGTGTAATGATGACAAAACTATTTTTTATTGGAGATCAAAACCACCTGTTGGCTACAGTGATCATATTGTTATCAAAGCTGAAATGCAATTAAAGCTCCCGGCTAAGCCAACACAAAAAGTATTAAGACGAAATTTTCATTGTGTAAATTTTGAGGACGTGAATACATAACTCTTAACTTGAATTCAAAGGTGTCAAAAATAACTTTAAAAGATCCAACAACCCAAGAAGTTTTTGATCCCAAAAGCATTGCAGAAGAATTTGCAAAAGACAAAACCGAAGAAGCAGTTAAAGAAACACTTAGAAACTCTAGAAAAGATTCAGAGCTACACTGAAAGATTAGCCAAATTCCACTCACAACTCTAATGGAAAGAAGACATAGGGGAGATCTAATAGAGACATTTAAAATAACAAGTGGACACTATGTGTAATGATAGTACAAAGAAAAGTCAGCCAAATTACAAAGAAAAAATTTTTTGTCCTATCGGCTGGAATACTACAAAAACAGACCAATAGCTCCAAATTTCTGTGGTGAATTGTGGTTGCTTACTTTGCCACGGAAGAGATTTTTCTGACATAATAGCAAAAAAAAATAACTTTATGGAAAAAAAAAGAGATCATGAGTCAATATCTGTAAACAGCTGGTCGTTGATAAATAAATAAATGAAGTACTCACTTTTGTGCTCAGTATCATCAGCCAACTGGTGCTCCAACTTTGCCACTCCTTTCTCAACCAGCGTTTCTGCATTAATATCTTTTTGTTTTGACTCTATATCCCCTACCGAGATTGTGGAAGCGGTACTAGTACTATCTGTCGATAAGTCAGAGAAAGTAGGAGAAGCTGATGAGTATTCCCCCTCACTGTCGTTAGCTTCCGTCTCTTTCTTGTTCATGTTTTTGTTAACATAGACATTATTATATGGGGTAGATCCAGGATCCCCTAAAAAACACTTTTTTGGTATCACAAAAAGTAATGCAATTTACAATTTCAATGATTCATACCGATTAAATCAATTTTCCGGACTTGATCTCTCTTTTTCTCATTGTTCAAAGGCAAATCTTGAGGTCTCTGCACAATTTCTTTCTTGCATTCCTCATTCGTGTTATTTAATTCTTCAGTTTTAACCATTTCCTCAATACGTTCTACCTTGCATGTTCCTTCTGTATTCCCATGTTGATTTGTCACTATAGCATCAGATTCGTTTGCCATTATTTCTTGTTCCATTGTACTGGAGCTATCTGTCAAAAGTAAACCATTTATAATATAAAAAATTTATTTACCCATTCAAAAATAAAAAGATTGCATACTCTCATTCAACTCATTTTCTTCCTTCTCTAATTCTTCTAACATTTCTGCGAGTTCATTTTCATCTACATCCACGTCCTTAGCAAATCCAATGACCAAGTCATCTGCACTATTCCTTTCAATATCTGCATCAGGCACATTTTTGATTTCTTCTTTTGCTATGTTACATACATCTCTTTCATCCAATTCGTTATTATCCTGTTTTGCATCTTCAAAGCACTCAACATGTTCCACTTCTTCTTCGACTTGAAGGTTTGATTGAGTTTGTTCTTCCTTTAGAACACATTGGCCTTCCCTGTTGTCCAATTTTTCTCCTTCCTTTTTCAGAAATTCCTCACAGTCTTCAACATCTTTATCAACAATAATATTTTTCTCTTTTTTTTCCAATAACTGTTCTTCTAATAGATCTAATTGGTGCTCTTGCAAATCACCACATTCTTCCTTTTCTTCATTCACATCACATTTTGTGTTACTGTCTACAACAACCTGTTTTGTAATATTTACATCTGCCTGAAGATATTCAAGTTTTACAAGATCTTTCTTCTCCTCAAGTAAATCCAAAGTTAAATTTTCAACATTTTCTTCAAGGCTTTCTGCTGCACCATTTTTGGTTTCAGTTGAACATTCTAATTCACAATCAATATCTATAAGTTTTTCTTCCTTAGGGCTAAAATCTTGATATTGTTCATCAGGTAATAGTGCACTATATTCAGTTACCATTTCTTTGGATGTTATATAATCTTGTTTAAGAATGGAGTTATTTCCATAATTGTTGTCTCCATTACACTTTGGGTCAGCAGATGCATCCCAAATATCAACATCTTTAACATCCACAGCTCTATCAGTCTTAATTTTATCATCACTTTCCAATACTGCTTCAGCAGTTACTTTTTGGTCTTTGCTCGCAGAAAGATTGTTCTCACTATTGTTATTGTCAGAATTGCTGGAAACACTTTCGCCTTTGCTGACATTGGTACTCAGATATTCATTCAAGCTATGGAAAACTGTGTTGATGCTGTGTTTGGTGATTGAATTTTGAGATGCATTCTTGGAGTTGTGCGCAGATTTTTCACGATGAGAATGCTGATCGGTCAGCTCGCTGTATTCGAAATCGTCCAGAAGCTGGTCCAAATCAATGGTGTATTTATCCATCTAGTAATAAAAAGCGTAGATTGAAAAGCTGGCAAAAAATTACGCTTACTATAAGCCGAAATTTGTAAAAACTACCATCTGAAGAGTACCTTTCCAACAAAATTGTCTGTTTATCATCTCCTTGTTTCCAACTTTTTATATGTACCTCTTGAATTACCAATCCCGAGCTTTTGACGTTTAATTTTTTTTTCTGACGTTTCAGAATTGATCGAATTTGGTTAGTTAACCAAGTCTATTTAAGTTCTCGCAAAAAAGATACGGAACTTGAAAGAGTAATGTTTGTAAAATACAGACCCGTTAGTTTTCGGCCAAAAATATAAACCAAGCAATCCACAAAACGGTAAATAACGAAACATGAAACCTATGCTAAGATGACATGTTATATTCCGTGGCCGAATAGTCAAACCACAATGCAGTGAAAATCATTGGTCTGCGACTGTGATTGTGTTGTGATTATGATTATGTTATGAATGTAGTTTATAGTTGAAAATGTCGGAGGAGGTTGATAAATATCCGTTGCATAAAGCCGTATTCGATAACGATCTGCCGACAGTTTCCAAATTGCTGCGAAAGCATAATGTCACTTGCAAAGACAAGCACGGTAATATTACGAGGCTTTCTCTTATAGGGCAAGGGCTTGAGTTTTTAAAAAATATGAAAGGGAGAGGTTAGGTGGCCATTAAAGCGGACTGTTTTTTATGTTTATGTGATGTTTTTTTATTACCAGCTGCTTTTTCTTTTAGGGAATACAGCTCTACATCTCGCAGTTATGTTAGGTCGGAAAGGTATGTAGTTAACCCATTTGGTGAACCACATCTAATGCCGTGTGTTCCAGAATGCGTCCAACTTCTCCTTAAACACGACGCTCCCGTTAAAGTGAAGAACGGACTCGGATGGACAGTATTAGCGGAAGCGGTTAGTTATGGAAACCGTCCTACGAGTAAGTTAGGTTTCCTTTTATGCGTTTTTACTTGACAGTGTTTCCTATTGTGTCCGCAGTCTCTTCGTTGGTTAGAAAATTCCGACAACAGTCGCGAGAGCAGATGGAACATAGACGACCGAATTTAGTTGCGGCCCTAAATAAAATTAACGACTTTTATATGGAGCTAAAATGGGATTTTCAAAGTTGGGGTATGGTACCTTCCCATCTATTAATTCGGAGTTTAAGATTTTTATTTTAGTGCCCTTGGTATCTAGAATATTACCTTCGGATGTGTGTAAGATATACAAAGCTGGTGCCAATATCCGGCTAGACACCACTTTGGTGGATTTTAGTGATATGAGGTGGGAAAGGGGCGACATTTCTTTTATATTTAACGGCGACGCCAAGCCCGATGAGAGCCTCACAGTGTTGGATAATATGAGCAAAGTGTACCAGAAAGTTAGATACGAGGTAAGGTGGGGCCTAAGAAATGTGTTACTTTCGCAAAGTCGATGATATTGCCGTGGGTGGAAGTATTTACCTTCCTTACAGAAAGCTAATTCTCGGTAACAACAGGTCCTAGGGTACAGATCGATTCAGCTTTGAAAGTAAAAAATTTTTCTTTTTGTCTGTTCTCTGTTCTGCATAATAGACTCGCGCGAGTTTTATTATAATGATAATTTTTGAACGGGTGGAGCTATGCGCTATGCGTGTGAGATTTGGGATAATAACCCAAACATGTTGTTTAGTCAAAAAAGTACACGGTGTCCCCCTTATGGGCAAAATCTGAAAATTGAAAAAATGAGTTGTGTTCCGTTTTGAAGAACCAACTAAGAAAACCTTTTGAAATTTGTTTTTCGGCTACAATGTATATGTAGCGTTATCATATCTACAGGAAACCAATAGCAATTTGGATATTTAATGTTTTATTTTAAATTTGTGAACTATGAAACATTTTCGATAACTTTACTTAATTCCTACTATTTCCTGTGGTTTTCGTTTAAAAATTATTATTTGTGCAAAACGTCGACAAATTGAATTGAATTAATTTTTTTTTGGGTTATACGATACATGTGTGCAAAAGATTCGCACGGTGTAGTATAGTATGAAGATATATTATACAGGGTGTCTCTAGAATGTGCATTATTATCAACATATTTTACACGATACTACGAAAATCAATTTGCGACTTTTATTTTTGTGTTTTAGGAAAGCGAGATGGAAATCGAGGACGAAGTCGACCTGCTGATGTCAACTGACATATTAGCCGCCCAAATATCCACGAAAAGGATATCGTTCTCGCGAGCTCAGAGTGGCTGGATTTTTCGAGAAGACCGGAAGGTAGTCCGAGCATTGGGGGGGGTGGGGTCGCAGCCACGCCTATCGTTTTAATTCGTAGGAACTAGTGGCTGGACAGTATGATGCAGAGTTGTACACGGTGCACGGTTTAACATTGGAAAGTCGAAAGAGGCGGGAACACTTATCCTCAGATGACTTGCAAAAAAACAAAGCCATATTGGAGAGCTTCACCAAGGGAGGGAATTTACAGAACCTTGACCAAAATGGAGTGGTAACGGTCTTCTTTTTAATAAAATTTATCATTAACGATAATTTAATAATTAATTAAGGTATAATCCACTTTAAGGGCATTAAAATTACCCATTAATTATTAATGAGGTCAAATTATCTATTAATGTAATAAAATTAGTACTAAAAGGATAAAATCACTCTTGACGTAAAATAACCCATTATTGGAATAATATTCCCCATTAGTAGGATAGAAAAGGTAAAATTACCCCGTAATGCTGGGTTAACAAGTACAAATATATTCCAAATCCAAGGAGTTTTACATACACTTCATTTTTGGTTGCCCCTAGGTTTCTAAGAACCCGTATGCACTTTCTAAAAAATAAGATAATAATTATGTTAACACTCTATACTACCCTTTTACCCTATTATGCAAACTAACATAACGTAATGCAGTTCAGTCCCCGCCCAACTAATCCAACAAAACAATAAAAACAAAATAAACCACAGTTCAAAATTTTTATTCATCAGTCTTATTTTTAACGAGGCTATTGTATAATGTAGGCCTCGAATATTGCACATTATTTTTATAGAATTCACTTCTAGGCATCAGTACTTGTACTTGTGTATTCATTATTGTTTTAGTGGTATACAGATGAATGTTTGGGTGTAAAGAGTCTTTATTCTGATAAATATAACAACAAACCATATATGTATAACGATCGAACATCACATACCTTTTCCCTATAGAGAAGATTTCTTGGAATATAAGTGATGTTTTTTGTAAATAATTTTAAGGAACCACATTCAATGATCTCAACGCAGTACTGTATACACCCCCCCCCCCCCAACTCACAAACTATTATCCCATACCACTAAATCGACTCTACGAGACCATAGTATAGTATCAACAGAAGTTGCTCAGTTAGGCATTGCCTTGTGAATAAAATTAGAATATTAAATACCTTAGCTTTTTTGTTAAGAAGGTAATGTGACTCTCCCATTTCAAATTTTGTATCAATATAAATACCCAAGTATTTTACAGTTTTTGCTTCCAAAATTTGTTCATTTAAATTTTCAACAAGTATACTTTTAAAAGTAGGACGATCAATAATAGTTTTTGAAAAAGCCATATAGTTGGTTTTTTCTACATTCAGAGTCTGTTGCTGGCTACCATTCTTTTACCCTGTGAAGTTCGCCAGTTGCCTGGGCTCTCGCCCCATCCCAGCTATCACTGCGAAGGGCAAAACAATATCATCGGGGTGTGAAACAACTCTTTCCTTTATATTTAACAATGTTAGTCCCTTAATATACAGATTGAAAAGTGTCGGTCCCAGTACTGTGCCCTACAGTATGCCTATATGTATAATTTCAGGTTCGCTTATTGCATCTCAAATTCTTGTTTTTTGCACCCTATTTGCCAGGTAGCCTTTACAAACCCTCAACACAGTGCCTCTCATTTGATTACATTCAAGAACATCCAATAGTTTCATGTGTCCATAAACACAGCGATCCATTTATTGGTCTCGTTGATCTCATCAGTCACATAAGACACTAGCTCCCGCATTTCATCGCTCGAGCTATGTCCCTTAGTGAACCCAAATTGGTTTTCTGAAAGGAGGTTATTGATTTTTAAAAACTTAGTCATTTAAACATTTTTCGAAAATTTTCGCAATGTTGCTTATCAAACTGATGGGCCTGTAATTTTTAAACACGCCTTAAATATTGGTGTAATAATCGACAGTTTAAATTGGGTTGGCATATCTCTAGTAGTGAATATTAAATTAATCACGTGTTTAATTGGTGCAAATATAAGATTATGAAACATTTTAATACCTTTTTACATTATGCCGTCATACCCGGGGGCACCAGCGGATTTTAAACTGTGAATGTTTCACAAGGTCATTGTGACTCACTGGCTCCAGATACGTTGTCCCGCTAATCCCTGGAAAGTCAAACTCCAAACTGTCATTAAATGCAATATTTTTGTTCATTTCTACGCCTATACTTGCAAAGTACTGGTTACAGAAGCTGGGCATGCTAATATCCTTATCAAAACTCTCATTATTGTCATCGAATTTACCAGTTAATATAATAAAATTACTGTTACTGGGGTAGAATAAGTATTAATGAGATAAAATTCCCCATTAATAGGATAAAATTAATTAATATAATAAATTAACTATTAATGGGGTAAAATTCCTGTTAATGAGGTGAAATTGCTCATTAATGGGATAAAATTACGATTAATTGAGTTAAATATTTTAGCCGGTTAGACGTACGAGTTTGGTGCCGCCGCCTGAGAAAAACGTCACTTGGGAAGAATATATCAACTCCGAAATCAACAACTATCCGAGATTGGGTCGGGAGCTCGTTTACAAAGAGTCCTCGAAATCCTTTAAGGCCACCATTGCGATGGTACGTGTGCTTGGAACTCGGGTATCGTTTGAATTTTTTTTTTTTAATGTCATTTCAGAGCAGCGATTTTCCTTTGTCGGTTGAGATGCTTCTGAATGTTTTGGAAGTTATAGCGCCGTTTAAGCACTTTGCCAAGTTGCGAGACTTCATAACCTTCAAATTGCCAAACGGGTTCCCGGTGAAGATCGAGCTGCCCATTCTGCCCACAGTGACGGCAAAAATCACATTCCAGGAGTTCGAGTTTAGGGACGACGTTCCCGTCAAGTACTTTGAGGTGCCCGATGACTACATAGAAGACCCGACGAGGTGAGAGTTTTCTTAAAAATAGTGCGCAAACGACTTTAAACTGAGAAAAATGCAGTACATTTTTATTTATTATCAAATAATTTTCTTTAACACTTAAAATGTCTGAGTTTTTATTTGACTTTTTTAAATACAATCTTTGATTATTAATCACCTACACTTGTAACAGGGTGTTCCGCTGTATACCAACTTGCTAATTTTAAGTGAAACATCTCATATATTATTGCATTTTTCAATTCCAAAATTTTATTTTGGAATATAATTTCTATAAAATAAGTTGCTAGTTGACTATTTAACACACTGCTTTTCACTTTACTAGTAATTTATAAAACATCTTCATTTATAGATAAATAGATCCTTTATTGAGCACTTCAAATATAATACAATTGTGGCAAGTCAGTGTTGTACAAGGTGAGTCAACAATAGAGTAAAGTTCATTCTCTCATTGGTTTCAAAAGTTATGAGAAAATGGTAAATACAAAAGTTGTAAAGATTGACATTGTAATGTATACAGGGTGGCTCATAAAAGAGTGACGAATAAAACAAGCATTTTATTTGGTTCAGATTTTTTATTAATATTATCTACTTAAACCTAATAGTTTTTCGAATATTTTGATATTTCTAGAAAAATACTCGTTTTCATACTTGCGAAAAATATATTTAAAAGATTTATTCAACTGAATTTGAATTAGATGCCACAGGGTGTTCAAAATAAACGAATATATTTGGATAATTTTAACTTAAAAACATTATTTAATCCGAAAGATTTTACAAAACATACATAGCGGGTGTTTTGTTCGCGCGGAAACGGACTTTACGGGCAGCTGGCACAACAAGAAGTCGCGACAGAGACAGGATAAAAATTACTCGATTGCGGAACTTAACTGGCCCGACCTCGATTTGTGGTGTTCCTTTCCAACGGGGGCGGCCCGTGCTGCGTTCGATGTGCATCGGGTGGTGAGGACTTTAATACACCGCGAAGAAAAGTAGAAGAATAACTTCTTGGTGCTGTACTCGCGGCCAATAAATAAGTTACAGCGTTATTTAGGAAAATTCATGAAAACCTGAAGAAATAATAAAATTAAAACTAAACACCGGTTGAGATGCATTGCAGAATGGAACATAGAAAATCCCATGTAAATTTTCAGGTGCCCAAATATTAGCTCCCCTGTACATTTTATAGCAAAATTGTAACTTTTTGAAGGGGCCGGTATGATTAACTTATATGCCGAGTTTGAATAAATTTTAATAAGCCAATCGTCACTTATTGAATTGAATATTTAGATGGCAAAATTGCAAAAGGTCAATACAACAAACACCAGCCAATATTTTCGATGACGCTATTTCCAAAACTTGACGACATCAAGCTGGACAATGATATATCCAATAAAGGTTGGTTTACAATAAAGATATGCACATTTGTACATAGTACATAGGTATATTTTTTGTATATGTTTTTCTTAGGATCAAACTCATACTTGGTTCTGAGGACCTCCTTGACTATAAATTTGCTACAACATTGCTAAAAAAACCTTATTTTAAACAAAATGTTCAAAAACCCTCCAATATCAGTTAAACGATATCCTAAGCAATAATAAAGTTCATTTCTAACATCTTTTTGTTGATATTGTCACATTCTAAGGAAATAGCGGTTCGTAACTGGTTAAATTGATTGGTTTTAAATTGAACATTTTTATAAACAATACAGAAAGAAGTCGTTCGGCGAAAGGTCAGGTGACCTGGGTGGGTAAAGGACTCGGCACCTCGGGCCAGTAATATTCTCGTTAAAAGTATTTCCCAAATAGTCCCTAACCATAGGGAATTATTGACGGGACAGCCATCCATCTGGTGCAAGATCTCCCGGTCTCGCAAATAACTTCTTCTAGTGCGGGTTCAATTTGATCTTGTGATAAGTCCAAATAGGTTTCTGTCGTGAGGTTATAAAAAATAAATAAATGTTCAAAAATATCGCCTTTTACCTGGATACATGTTTAGTCTTTTTCGTAAATTTTCTTGGACGTTGACGTTGACGGTGTTATTCTCCTGCACGTGTCCCGAGTTATATTTTCCATATCTTCTGGTGTTGGGGTGTGAAGTCATATGATCGAGGAGGCCATGCAATGAATTGATCCATTACTGTGGTTAATAATTATTTCAAAATTCTATACATTCTCGATGATAATGCGAAGCCCTATCATGCTGAAACCACATTTGTTGAAGCTCAATGTTCATCGGCTGACATTATTTTAGACAAAAAAATTGGAACGGACTCTATTGCTTGATTTATAATGTGCAGAAGTTTACCCTTTGTTCAAAATCACGGTCTAGAAGTTCTTGGTGTAGTTCTATATGGAAGGGATGATAATTGTAGATTGGGATGTCTCACATCAGCTAGCTACTTGACGGCTACTGGGATTATCTTGAAATTGAAATAAAATTACCAATTCTTTTTATTCATTGGTAGCGTCCCGTTTTACCACTTTCCATTTTTCATATTTAATATTACGACTGGCATCAAACCATTGCATTAAACACTAAAGAGATTGTCTAGTTGGTATTGGTTACTTCACCTTGTAAAGTTGTACTGCCAACAAAATATTTTTTCCACCTCATCCAGTATATAGATCATATCAATCAAACTTTTTTAAAATTTACTGACACTATAAATTTGATGAATCTATTTACTCAGTTGTCAGGTGAAAATTTGACAATGTCATTTTGTTATAGCAAACTAATGTCTTATGTAGAAAGAAAGGTTAACATTGGAAAAGTTAAAATAAATCTCAAAGTATTAAAAATAGGAATACGACATAGTTAATAAAAGTTGTATGTTTTTGCAAGATTTTTCAGAAAAAATAATATATATAGATAGCGTGACATTTAAGAAAATCGAGATTCTTCGATTCAAAATGATTTCAACACATTCGTTTATTTGTAACACCCTGTAGCATCTAATTCAGATTCGGTTGCATATACTTCAAATTGAAAACAACATTTTAAAATATGTATTTTTCATTCGTCTCACCTTTTTTTGAGTCACCCTGTATACTTTAAAATAATGTAAAATTGTGCATCCTATTAATCTTTACAACTTTTGAATTTACCATTTTTTTCTTTTTTTTGAAACCAATGAAATAATGACCTTTGAAATGTATTATTACACATTAAGGGAGAATTACAAAGGTACAAGGGTACATACCACCACCATGATGGTGCTGTCCGTTGTCCATGTATTGCCGCACAGAGTAGAAACGGTGCTTTTGAAGGTACTTTTTTTACACATCTTTTAGATTTTTTATTACTCGATGCCATACTTAAATTTTTTGTTGCGAAAGAACTCACTTTTTCTGGTAGGATAATTATGATTAAAGAAGTTCAGCCTGAGCGTGTCTTTGGCTCTATTTACTTCCAGTTCTTCCAGTTGATTTTCAACCTTTGCACACGTTACTACTTTTACTTCTTTCTTTTGAAGGTTAGTTTTGGTTAGTTCAAGATCGCACCTATTTTGATTATATTGGAAGTCACCATTAAAAGCGCTATTTTAAACGGAACACCCTGCAAATTATTTTATTTTTGAACTTTTGAGGAAATCTTAATGTTTGAACCAAAATGCTAGTTACTTCGAACAATTGTTGAAAATATTGTGTTTTCTTTTATTATGATAGAGATACATTAATGCTAAGGCCGATAATTAACGCCTCATTAACATAATTATTTAAGTAAATACAAAGGAAATTGCCGTTTCCTCCAAAAATCACATTTTAATCGAAAATCCGTATTAAAAAAAACTGGTTGAAAATATGTATAGGGAAAGTTACAGCAGTTATATACAGGATACCCCATTTGAAAAAATGAACTTTTTGGCTTCTAAAATTATCCAATCCCCTGTATATAATAAATCAATTGTCAATACAGATTTTAAAAGTAACCTTAGTTTAGGGTGCGCAAGTTAGTAAATTTTGAGAAATCAGTGGTATCTGTAACGCCCAAGAGGGTCGAAAATTTCAGTTGGACTTTTCGATCCCGCAAAAAAAAAATTAAATTCCAGTTGGTTGTATAAGATTTCTTTCGGGTAAATTAATTTTTTTATTGGAAATATCTGAATGTTCTTTGTTAATTAATTTGTTGAAAAGAAATTTGTTTTTTTTGAAGTAGTTTCTTTCAAAAATGATTTTTTTTATGAAATTTAAAAGGGAAACTAAAAATATTTTTTCTATGAAAAAGTTGTACCGGGTTAGTAAAAAGTACTGGACGTTTAAATATCTCCAAAACAGGTAAAACTAGAACGACAAAATTCAATACCTGTTTTTTTTTAATATGCAGAATTTAAAAATCCTAAGAACAATGTCGTCAGATTTACTACTTTAACGTTACACTTCATAGTTTTGTTATTTTAAATTTAATGAGCTATTTATTTTTATTCTAATGATTTGCGCCCGTCGAATTTAGTAAAATCTCATAATTTCAAAATTTTATTAGTTGTGTTGTGCTTGTTAGTAATTAATACTGAGCTACGGCAACACCGCTTTTTCAGTAAAAAGCCAAAACTTCCAAAACTGGAATTAAGAAGTGCTAACAGCATTTGTGTCATAAAAAAAGCAGAGTTTTGGAGCTTTTTGAACATAGGAAATTTTAGAAAGATTACCAGAATCATAAATATCATCGCGAAATTTGACAACATTTGTTGCTGCTTCGATTTTTGAATTCTGCATATTTTAAGGTATTGAATCGTCGGAGGCACCTGTAGGCACGCCCCTTAGTCGTCCATATATTAGTGTTTCGTGGGTGGGCAGGTTTCCCGATTTATGACGCCCCGAACTGACGAGCTGCTTCGAGATCCGGCATTGCCCAAAGCCGCAGTTTCTGTTGCCGCACGAGCGCCGTCAGATGGCGCTGCGACGTTTCCGGAGGCGGGGCGCCAAAGGTTCGGAGGGCGCGGGGCCCAAAGTGGGACCGCCGGTCGTCGTCGTCGAGGTTCCTATGCTGTTCACCTTGGGCAGCGTCTACAGCAGCAGTTGCTTGGTGTACGTCGAGTGAGAGATCCGACAGGTATAACCGCCGGCTAGAGAAGTGCCGAGGGCTTTCGAGGCTGCCGCGATGCTTTGTTCCTTTTTTTTTAGTTTTTATTATATTATATTTGCTGTTTGTTTGATATACTTCGCCTGCGAGATCTCTATACGCGGCAGAGATATAGATGGCGGTGTCGAGGTAAAAGAATTTCCGATGCTGATCTCCAGCAGTTTCTGGTCGTTTGTTTAAGTGATCAATTGACTTGCCTGAAAGAAAATTGATATCATATTATATGAGTATTGCGGTTCGTAGAATTACAATCACCACTTGTACTCGCAATTTTTTCTTACCTGGGTCTCCATTCCCATCTCGCTCCCATATTTACCTACCGTCATTAGCAAAAATTCTTCAAAAATAAAATAATATATCAAATTCTGATTTTGGCAATCTCTCCCGCATCCCATGTTTGAAGCGACGCATTCTGTGTGGGAGACAGGCCTCAACATAACATGGCTAGTTTTCGGCAACTTTTCCTACAGGGTATACGTTTATGAAGGATGTGCACCTGTCATGAAGCCGCCTGCTATTGGTATTCTCGTAGCGCTCCAAACATCCTATTTTTTTTTTCATCAAAAGTTTCATCGTCTGTAACGTTTGTAAAAAACGTCGTTTTGCGGAATTTTTTTTTAGCATGGTCATCAACCTCCTTTTTTTTTTCTTCGGTGATGTTTTCCTAATTGTTTTTCTGACATTTTATTTTTATGATTTTCTATTATTTCCCTCTTTACCTTTTTTCTTTCTTATCTGCAATAATTGATGAATGAGTCAAGTTATACGGAAACTGTTTTCTTAATTTAGTTTGCTTGTTAGTTTTAGGACTGGAACTGGAGAAATTACATTCAGCATTCTAGTAGTTGTCCAACCATCCACACCAAACAAAGAAGCGCTTGTTGAAGGTTCAGGTTCAAAACGAGTCGCCGAGTCGAATTATTGTTCCTCTGATTCTCGGAAAATTTATCTTTTTCTGTCACTTTTTCCAGATTTTGATTAAGGTTATTTAATGTTAGAAAGGCATGCCCAGGAACTGCTGAGGGTTTCAAAGGAAAAAATCCAGTTGCGGGAAAACCTGAAGCAGAGCACCAAATTGTCTACTCTCAATCTTTTTTTGGGAATGATTTGAATAGTAATGAATTCATCGCATGCATTTTTAAAATATGTTTGAGAAAAAACGCACGGTCTAACGGTTAAGGAAAGTGCGTCGTGTGAATTGGGAAACAGCAATATCGCAAATATAAGGTGACTCCCGTCACATTTTGATGACCGTTCCCATTGGCATGTTCTTTTGCCAAATTTGTTGCTAGTTGACACGCTTGAAGATGCAGTACGGCAGCATAAAATTTCTCCCTGCATTGCAACATAGCACTACGCTTATGGTCTCATGGACATCTTTACTGTCCTTCAAAGCTACAACTTTACCAGGTATATTGTTTAATTGAAGTCCTGATTCGTCACAAAATATGTTTCCACCTCTTTGTTCATACCTTCGTTTCGGGACATGGACACGCCTTTCGCCTTTCGAATGGTTAAAGTGGGATTTCTTTTTTAAAATAACTTGCGCCACTCAACCAGCTTTTTATCTTTCTTGAATCGATTTTGAAGACCCATAGATTGTGTTATCACTCTCAAATTTTTGGCCACAGGCGCAAATCACATGGCTTATAGTTTTTGAATATGGTTACACAGCTTTCTTTCCGTATCTTCGCCCAAAAAGGATGCCCTTCTCTTTCTTGAATTTGCGTTTTTATAAACGTGCACGTTGTGTCCTATCAGGGATGTTGTTATTGCCAGCGGTTTGTTTGATGGGGGACCTGATCTTGAAGCACAGCATTCATTGCTCTCATTAAATACTCCTGTGTCCATTTCCCCTTTGTCCCCTTTTGTAAAAAGTCGGCATTTTGGGTCTGAAAATAAAAGGCTATTTTGCGTCATCTATCCCAAACCCATGCACCTGTTTAGGTTACAACAAATTTCTAGAGATGGTGTTAGCTTTTACGATAAATCAACTTCAAAATACATTTGTTATAACTTCGACTTTTAGCCGATTTCTAATAAACAGTATGGACAACTGCAACGAAATCGCAAATTATCGGATTGCGTCGTCTCGCCTTCCGCATCACGTCTGCCTGTTTTAACCTAATATGGATCAGTTTTCTTTGAGGTAAGTCAATTGATCATTTAATTTAATTTAATAATATTTCGTATTGCCGTTCTCGAAGTACTATAGCTACTTGTAGATGTTTAAAGAGAAATATATAGAATTTGCTCAACGTATATATTTGTAAAAGAAAGCAAAGAGGAAAAACGGAACAAAACAAAAATGACATTGTATAATGTAACGATAACTCACGTTCATAATGCAACATATTAATATTAAAAGAAAAAACAACATTATAAATAGGTATGCAGATACCTAACACTGAAATAGTCATTTTGTCAAGGGTCTATAAAATCTCTTAAACATTTTGGATTTTTGAGGCCAACATGCAGTATTTTTAATAACTTCGATGGATATTCCTGCCCTAAAGGCTGTAACTAGCGCTAATAGAGTACTCAGCTTCATCGTCTACAGACCAGATATAACAGAACAGGATGTGGGTCCTGGTTAGTTTCAAAAAACGTTCTAAAATAAACTTATCAGAATTTGTACTGAAAATAGCAAAACTACGCGTACATGCATGCACCGTCATGAACTTGGTTACGTAAAAATATCAGTATCAAATTTCGGAAGTATTCAAAAGGATTGTGTTTATTTGTACTGCAAAACTCCCATCATTTTCTTTGAACTGTACTGTTTTACTGTACTGGGACACCACTTCTGTGAAAAGCCTCCCGGATAAAATTCCAGCCTCCAGGGAAAGACTTTGCCATAGTGGACGGCAGTACCTGAAAGGTGAAAAAGGAGAGTTTGGTTTGATGTGAAAAGTTTACGAAAGACAGAGAACCATGACTGGGTATTCCAGCGTAGAATCATTACTATTCCTTGGGCTCTCTCGGCAATGATTTTTTGTAAACATTTTAATATAAGACCAAATGGCAGAAAGGCATAGAAAAATTCATCCTTCCAAGAAATTGTAAAGGCATCTACAGTTACAGAAGTAGGATCTCGTTTCCACAAGATATATCTAATTAACTTGCTGTCCAGAAGAATACAATGACGACAATGCAGAATAGGGTGAGAAAAACGTCCAAGAATATTCGCACCTCTTTTCCAACTCCTGAAGTAATGTCTAAGTTTTTCTTCTGCTTATGGGAGCACACAAAAAAATTGCAGCGAATGCTAGTGGCGGTAGGTAAATATGTGAGCGAGATGGGAGTTGAGGACCATACTAAGAAAATTTGATTTTAAAATTCGCGCAGACCGAGCTAGGAAAAAAGGAGAACGGCAATATGAAATTTAATTAACCTGAAGCGTGTAGATGTAGACTGAATGTGCGTGTGTGTTGTCTATATCGTTTTCAATTGCTTTTTTTAAGCTGTGACAATTTTAGTATTATTTTGTTTAGACTGGTTTAGGTTTACCATAGTGTAGGTATCATTACTGTTATACCTCAGAATAGGGATGTCGAATGTTTTTATTTCGTGTATATATGGGAAACAAAGCGTCAAGAATGCAAAACGCTTAATTTGATGTAAACGTTAAATTCGGATGTTTTAAATTTCCTGCCGCAACGTTATAGGGACATTTTGCACCTCTCCTATTTTAGCGTTGTTTTACTTTGTCCCTTATTTGAAGCACTTAATGACAAATAACGTTTTGTCTCGTTAATCGATAACGTTCAACGCTACTTACGGCGTTACTAAAGTTTGAAGCGGTGTTGTTAGCAGTAATACGATAATTTTCGAAAGTACCAAATAGTGTGGATTATGAATTATAAAACTAAAGGTTTGTTTTTATTTCATTGTATTTATACCGAACCTTTTAAATATTTTTATCTTTCTCCTTTATTCTAAAAAACACGACGAAACATGACAATCCAGCGCTGCTGCAGGCATAAATCCTTTGTTTAATCCAAACATTTGGGATACAATTCAGGTGCCTAAATTGAAGGATTTGCAATCTTATTGGGGGGTTGATCATCAAAAATATCGCCCACAATAATGATAAGGTTCCCGCCAAGTGCTTTTCTGCATATTGAAAATTCACGACACACATTTTCCATTGCTATAAACACAATTATTATGTTTAAATAACGAAAAAACCCAGATTTAGATTAAACCTTTTAAGGTAACCAGAAATGTTGAAATCAAAATAACGTCAGTCTAATACCCGTGAATACCCAATAATGTCTCATAAGGGTGAAGTGTCATAAGAGGTATAAAAAGTATGAGCGGTTAAATCACAAGTTTATATATAATACTTTATTGGTGTTGTCATTCGTCTGACCGTGATTGAGAGTATGTTTCAAAAACTATCAAAACTTTATAAAGTTGTAAAATGCTTACAGAAAAGTAATGTTTATTAAATGTAAAAAAAAGTACAATCTCATAACTATTCAAAAAAATATGAAAATTGTACTGTATGACAAGACAAAAATGTGAATGTGCTCCTGAAATATGTTAGGGGTAAGTCCGTTGATAGACTTGTAAAAAATATTACGTATTGGATGTACAGGGTTGCTTAATCAAGTATTTTTGTTATTAACCAGATCCGTAGTCAGTATTCTATCTGCCAATGAGGAAACTGTTGTGTTTTAAAAACGAACATCCTATTGGCGTTATCTCCAAGTACAACTTTTTTTTTTATTAATGGAAATATTCAATCTTCAACCACATTAGGGGGACGTCGCCTAGGATAGCATACTTAATTTGAATTCAAAATAACTTACCTGATTGAAACAGATGAGACATTAAATTAATTTTCAACGTAGAAGCAGCATTATACTTCGTTAGAAACATCAATATTTGAACTGATTTTAATTTACGGATTTTGATAATTTTGGTACTTCTATTTAGATAATACAAAATAGATGTATCAACCAATGATATGATTTTATGAATAACGCTCGCAGATAAAGTGCTTTCCATCCATGGGTTACATTTTTGGCATGGGATCCACATTTCTTTACTATGACACCGTGAGTATAGTTCGTTGCACTATAAACCTCCTATGTCATATTCTTCGTCGTCTTCCATACTAGCAGTATTGTAGAATTATTATTGGTCTTGGTCATCTTCTTTGTCTACGATGTTTTCTTCATTTCTCTTGCCAAAATTTTTCGTCTTTTGCAGATTTTTCATCTTCTTGTTTTAACTCGAAAATATCAGGTGTTGTATTTAATAGGCTAGTTTTGCCTTTTGCGTGCCTTATCTTATTTTCTCTAGGTTTTGCCAGATTAATCGGTGATAAGTTATTAATGCTGCTTTTTTTGTTTTCCAATGAAGAAAGTTCTGGCATGTTGATATCTACGACTTTAGTATTCGTTTCGCTTTCAGTTTTTTGGTCGTTTGTTTCAGTCAAAGAAGTTTCAGCTAACTTTTTTTCAGGCTGTTGGTCCAAAAGCTTGTCTCTGGTTAGTGATGGTGCAAACATCCAATCCTCAAAAATGTTGGAATTCAATGGACATATTCCAGTTTTGGAAAATGTTTGTACGGCGTTTGCTCTGAAGTAGGATATTTTAGAGAGACCGGATATCTGAAAATCTGTTACCACCCTACCAGGATTTTGTCTAAGCCATCTTTGAATTTCTTGGTCATAGTATGTTTGTTATGGTTCAAAAAATCTAACGTCCAAGGACTGAACGCGATGCTGGCAATGAGCAGGAAAGCAAAATATAATAATTTCAATTTATTTCGCAAATTCGAGTGCTGGTAAGCTTTTGTGATGAAAAGTTCTCCTGTCACCAACCCTTTTGGCAAAATACTTTACTACCTATAGGAGCATTGTCCATAAATTTGTTTTGAATCTCTTTCGTGCAAGAAGACTGGCGGCACATTGCACATGTCAGATGTTTTCCACTTTCAGCACTGCTAAGAGTTCAAACCTGCCCCAACATTACATGTTTTCTGGTTTAAAAGGTGGTCTCTAATGAAGTAAAATACGATCCGATGTTCTTTTTATTAAATCCTGTCCTCGAGCAAGTATTTTCAGAAATTCTTAATAATATTCTCGGATTTATTGTCAAAAAACCTGTTACCCATTTCTGCTTTTATAAGTTAAAGTAATGACGTACGTTGTTCACCGTTGCCAATGTGGTCTTCTCTACTTGTTGGTAGTAAAACCAAAAAACTTTGTTTCCATTCCTAAAATACGATTCGCCAACATCTCTGCCATTTCACGTGGTAATATTGTTTTACAAACTCCCAAATCACCCTTGAAATGCTATTTTTTCTAAATCTTCCCCGGAACATTAAACATTTTGGCCGCTAATTGCCAACCAACCCATTCTTGCTTTTTGTATTCCCGTCCATTTCGGCTCATAGCTGAAAATTAAAAACCAATCT